AATTAAGGTATTCAGACTGTGAGAAGGCTCTATTGACCACTGTGTGGGCAGTGAAACATTTATCCTGCTATATTGGTGGACAGAGGATTATTGTTGAGATACAACATCAGCCAGTAACGTTTCTGAACAGCCAACGCATCAGAGATGGTGTGGTGACAAACTCACGGGTAGCCACATGGCTTATGGCACTTCAAAGTTTTAACCTAGACATCCGCTACGGTCAAAATAAGAAGTCGCACTTGGGCACTGATTTGGCAATCTGCCAAGAATGTACACAGGATGTACCTGCCACCCAACAGCCGGTTGTGAGTAAACCCTCAGCTGCTGAGGACCCAAATCACCACTTCTTTGATAGCAATATCTGTAAAGATATGGCAACAATGTACGTGGATGGATGCTCATTCCACCACGAGACAATCTGCAAAGCAGGTGTTGGAGGAGTACTCCTCCAGGACCAAGAACAGGTCACATTTGGCTATAAATTAGGCTCTCAGTCTTCTCAGTACGCTGAGATAGCAGCAATCCTAATAGCCCTATGGATAGCGGTGGAACGCTCCATCCAGACGCTAGTCATCTGCACTGACTCTAACTATGCTCGACTTAGTTTCTTGTGTCATCTCGCTCTGTGGAAACAGAACGGTTTTCTCACAAGCAACAAAAAGGTGGTAAAACACAAAGAGCTTTTCATGACATGTGATCACTTAGTGACATCACATGATCTACAGATCTTCTGGAAGAAAGTTCCAGGACACTCCAGAGTCCCAGGCGATGACAAGCACTACAATGACCTTGCAGACTCCTTAGCCAAGGAAGGAGCCGTGGACGGACCCACGTGGTCCTTCGACCCCTCCTGGCTACTCAACACTCAGTCGTCACAAGCTACAACTGAGGTAATGGCAGTCACACGTGCACAAGCTGCAGCTAAACCTGCTGATAACACAGTTTCTGTACGCCCAATGCTGACTGACCCAGACATCATCCAACTTCAGAAGTTGGATCCTGCAATTAACTCGATGATGCTGTATCTGACTGACCCAGACAAATACACTCCATCGAAAGGTGAACTGGATTCCAATCCAGACCTCAAAGTCCTCTTTCAGCTGCGCAAACAGCTAAAACTACTCAAGGGCATCCTAACTTTTGCTCATGGACGGACGGCCTCACCTGTGTTCGTGGTCCCCCATGACCACAGGGGGGTGATGTTAGTCCATGCACATGACCTTCCGTCCGCAGGACATAAGGGTGACAATGCCACGCTGAAAGCATTAAAACAGATTGCTTATTGGCCTGGAATGAAAAAGGATGTCAAAGACTACATAAAAGGGTGCCTGGTTTGTGGCCAGTTTCAACCATCCAGACCACTTCACAGAGCACCACTGCATAGTAGAGGCATTGCATTTCCATGGTCGGACCTCCAGATTGACTGGGTCGGACCACTCACTAAGACCTCTAGAGGAAATAAATATTTTCTCACGGTAACCTGCGCGTTTACCAAATGGGTAGAATGTCTACCAGCCCCTAATGACATAGCACAAACCACTGCTATGTTATTAATGAATCATGTATTCTCAAGGTTTGGACTTCCCCTCAGGGTGAACTCAGACCAAGGTACACACTTCACAGGTGAAGTAATGAAGGAACTGTGGAAGACGCTAGGCGTCAAAGCCAACTTCCATATTGGCTACCACCCACAGGCTTCAGGCCAGGTTGAGAGAGCAAACAGGACTGTGGTGAGTATTTTGAAAAAATACGTAGCCGCAAACCACAAGGACTGGGACGTGAAACTCCCTCTGGTCCTCATGGCCATAAGGGCCACTCCACACACATCGACTGGCATCTCTCCTTTCGAGATGATGACGGGTCGACAAATGACTCTCCCTCTACACCTGTTGTACCAACCAGGCGATGCTGCCATGGCAACAGCCTACACTACGCAACAATACATGAAAGACTTGGAAAAACACCTTAAAAACACTTTTGCTTTCGCACAGAAAAACCTGGAAAAATCAGCTGAAGGACGCAAAGCGTACTACGACCAAAAGGCCTCTCACGAGGAACTCCAAGTGGGAGACAGGGTCTGGTACTACACGTTTGCCCCCACAACTGGGAGAAGAGAGTCCGGGACCGGAACTCTCGCCCGTAAACTGATGCCCAGATGGACTGGACCCCATCTGATAACAGACAAACTGTCTCCAGTTGTCTATCAGATAAAAATCAGTAAAGGCCAAAAAGAGCCAACTGTTAAATGGGTACATCGTAACCAGGTTAAACCACACAAGGTGTGCAAAGAAACAAACAAACGGGACAACGTGACTGAATCTGGCAACCAGGGTGAGAAGAAGCAGTGAAACGATCACCATAACAGCCCCGCACTCCACCCAGCTGCTCAGTTCATCAGACCCACTCTAACAACTATCACTGTTTTGGTCATACACACAATCATGCCACAAGCATTTAAACATTACGACCACACTCTAACCACTATCTCATATACTTTTTAGTTAAAACATCTCAATAATTTTCACTGTGCCAGCTAATCCAGACATCAAACAATCCAGCTGTCCTCTATCTGGCTCTTCACCAGTTTATTCAGCAGTCAATATAAATCAACATTACATTTAATTCATTTAAACCAGTGGTCCCCAACCCTTATTGTGCCACAGACCGGTTTGACGTCAGACAATATTTTCACGGACCTGAGGGTGGGGGGGCTGTGTGGTCTGGGGGTTTTCTCCAACAAAATTTTGAGTAAGTAGATGTCATTTCCTGCATTCTGGTGTATTTTACAAACATTTAAAACATTTTTTGCTTCAAATACTCTGACTGCACGACAAACAGCTTCATGAGCTGAGATCATCGTCTGTTTTATCAGTTTGGTGAAAGTTCAGAGAACTCCTGCAGTGATTCACACATCAGATTGTTCACAAAAGCACAGGAACTTATGCCTAGTGCAAAACATTTAATTATATTTTTGTGTTTTATAATAAAATTACCCATGACTTTGAACTTTTAGGAGCAGAGATTTTTTGAGATGAAGCAAAAATGTGAAGCGACAGCTCTGATGTGATATCAGGAAGATTGTTACAATTATAGTTTTATTTAGTTGTAGTTTTATAGTCAATCTTTGTCAGGCGGGTTGAAAAATATGCAGTGTAATCCTTCAAAATGGCAGATACGGCTGCACACCTCCACCTGTCTGCTGCAGACCACGTAGCTGAATTGCTTTGTTCTTCAGCAGCAATGTAGAACTGGTCTGCACATGCACCCAGCAGAAACTGAAACTAACCACTTGTGTAAGTTGACCTGCGTCAACTGTGAGTCATAGACTGATGTGGTAGAGAGTATCCAGTGATTTTTCAAAATAACCCCCCCCCCCCTTCTATGCGGCCCGGAACCCATTGACCCAGGGACCTGTACTGGTCCGCGACCCGGGGGTTGAGTACCAGTGATTTAAACCACATCAGAATTTCCCAGCATTGCCACAACATGTTCCTCTACTTCAGGACTTGAACCTGCACTTTTATTTATCACCTCACGGTACCAAATACTTTAAATTTGAACACTACACCGAATTTTCGAGGGTCCTGATCTTCCTCGGGATTTTTCTCAAACCCAGCGACCGGCGTTCTCGTCAGAACTGACCACGGCTGCCACACCTTGGACTCGCCTCAAGTTTCAGCCAGACTCCAACTGGCTGACCGTACGAGGTGTCGAAGACTCAAACTTCTATTAATTTCCCAACATCACCACACCATATTCATATTCACCATATTCATCAGGTTCAGGACTCAAACTTGAAACCTGGACTTGTCCAACTTCTTGCTAAATATTTTGTTCACACATTTTAAAATTTAGAAAATCTGTGTGTGTCATGCTTCAATCGTATTAAAAAGTGCAGATTTTTTACAAAAAAGGGCTCTGCTTACCTTTTTCAGGCCGGTCTACGATTGAAGCGTATCACACCGGATCGATCGGGGCCTGATTGGGTTCCACTCAAAACTGCGGACATGGTTCTTCCATTCGAACGAGCCCCCATTTGTAAGGGGAAACAAAGATCCTTCTCTTCTTCCCCCACCCAGGTTGTGTGCTTGGAAGGAACACACGCTTGTGTCGGAATTAAACAACATCTTTATTTTTACAGACTTCAAAATGCATGAACAGGAGAGAATTGGATATATATTATCCCACATCAAGGGGCCCCCGTACAATACAATTCTGCCGTGTGTCACCTCTGTTCCCACATTTATAGACTTTTTCTCCATCCCGTAACGTCCTGTTTTCAATTTCTATCCAATCAAACACCTTACAGACTCTGAAGTCCCTGTTCAATCAATCAGGCCCACATTAGCTGTCATCTCTTTCCACTGAGTATGTGACACATTCCAAGCACCAACCTACATAATCTCACAAAGACTGCAAGACTCAGATTATCCCCTTGGTAACCCATCACGTGATCAAGTTTTAGATTGCTCTACTAAAGTCATTCTGACCTACTAAACTGCTCTTTGACTCATTATTTTATAATCCCCACACATGCTCAAATGATGTGAACTATAATTTAACTTTATTGTTGATCTTAGTTAACTGAACAAAAACTTTTGAGGTTGTAGTTTTGTTTTTCATTAAAAGGCCTTATAAGAAACTATTTTCTTACTGACATCAGAAAGTGTCATGTTGATTTTAAAATTAGCAGTCACTAAAAAGATATTTATCGGCTTATGGCCTATTTTACACATCTAACAGAAATTCTAGCCATCTTTATATGATCTATTTTCCATAATTCATAATTAAACCTTATATTCATCAACCCATATTATGTTATTTTCCACAATTTATCATCGTTTATTTTATCCCTAACAACAGTACATAGACTGTATATTTCCATTTGCTTGGTTTTCAACTTCTTATTCAATATACTGCACTTGCCAACTTAGTATTTGATTTAAACAATATTTATTATAAATCATGTTTCAAGTAGTCTGAATCAATCAACTTTTCAGTACCAGGTCCGTGTGATCCAGAGGATCTGATTGATGGAATCCTGTTTGCAGCAAGCTATTTGGGCTCAACTCAGCTGGTGTCAGAAAAAACACCATCTAAGAACGTCCGCATGATGCAAGCACAGGAAGCAGTTCGACTCATCAAGGTGAACACAGACATGATGTATTTCCAGAAACCAGTTCATAAACAAGACTTTAATTCATGAGGTTCCTGTGTTATTATGTCTGATGTCAATGCAAACATTCAGTGGGTTCATATATCAAGAAAACGTTTAACATCTAATGTAGATTATTGCTAGTATCACTCAGCCCTCTGAATAGTAAGCGGCCATCAGGGTACTAACAATCAGTCACGTTCGGATTTTCGGATTCTTAATAAGCCAGACACAGGAGTGCAAAAACAAGAACAGTTTTTATTTATTATGCTGCTGGTTGCTGGAGGCTCCTGTCCAATTTTAATAGATAGAGAGAGAAAGTGGGGCAATGCAGGGTCGTGGTCCAAAGGGGTCAAACACAGGGAGTCAGAGGTCCAAAAATTAATCCAAACAGCGTGATCCGAGAATCATGGTCATAGAGGCAGAGGTCATTACCGTGATCAGAAGGACAGAGCAGAACCAGACGAGGAGCAGGCAAAAGAGTAAATCCACAAGACAAGTGAGGTCAAAAATCCAAATACAGGGCATGAACATCAAGCATGAACAAGAACAAGCTGGCTGGATATCAGGGACCATGAAAGGTATAATAATTCAGCACTGGTGGAGAGTGAGCATGGAGCTTAAATAGAGAGCTGAACAGGTGCATGGAATGAAGGCTGATTGCTGTGCTTAGGCTGAGGAGGTGTGGTGAACTGTTGACTGACAGGATCAGATGTGAGCAATGACAGATGGGTGATAAGCAAAACACAGTAGGGAAACAGAAACAATGGCATGAGGGGCAGAAGTGTGAGCAGATGAGGGGTCAGCGGGGGACCACTGACCATTACAGATGGTCCTCCTTTCCAGCTAGTTTTATCTGTCACCAGCAAACTGGTTGATCCACTATGAGAAGAAAAGTCCATCCAGAAGACCTGACTTAATCTTTTTGATAAATAATAAGATGTTGTTAAGTTCAATAAAATTATCTGGTTTTCCTGAAACATGTGGCACGAATCTGTTTTTAAAGTTGTGTTTGCTTAGGATGGTCAGACTGAATCGCTGCCCGTAATAGAAGTAGACCTCTTCATCTCCACTCAAAGAATCAAAGTGCTGAAAGGTGACACCCAGGTAGTAATCTGCATGGAAACTCAATGCTTTGTGACATCTCGCTTTTTCCACACAGGTTCAAAACACACCTACATTCAATGTTGTTTATATTCATACTTAAAAACTTAACCTCAGAGTTCAGGTCACACCTATCCAAGTGGAAACAATTCACATTTATAGTTATGCATATAAAAACAGAACTAAATTCACCTTTCTAAAGTGACCTGCTGTTGAGGGCCCTGAAAATGGGAAATCTGAAAACAGATAATGCAATCAGGAAGTAACCTTTTTAAAAGTAAAAATAAATATTTTTTACTTTTGACTTCCGCTTGAATGGCTGTAGATGTTTTTTCGTTTCTAAATTTCTCATCTCTCTGGTCAAACAGGGGATGCGTTTCTTCTTGCGTCTGTGCCCTGGGAAGTTGTATACCACCCATTGAACGTTATATTTTTTAACAAGATTGTCATCTATGTTCAAAGGCACACAGAGGTGCTTTGAGACCATGTCTTGTAGCCTTTGTAACCTTTAACATGGATGTTATCTTGTTTATGAGCTCCTCAAACAGCTCTTACCTTTGCTTTATCTGCTCTGTATTCAATGTGTGGTGCACACAATCATACCAAAGGACCTGATAGGACTGCACTAAATCATATGCCTTATTATTTTAACAAACACTTAGTTTGAAACATAATATAAATACAAAGCTTGCTGTAGTAACATTCTGTTTGATTTCTTATCATATACCTGCATCAGATATAGGTGATGTTGGGAGTGTTAACTGTTGCTTTGATTTAAGGAAACCATATTGGACCAACCTCTGAGAACCATCTCCTACATAGCTGACGTTGGCAGTTCTGTGGTTCTGATGGCCAGGAAAAGATTGTCCCAGCAAGATTCCCAGGAGAATGCAGAGACCTCAGAACCAAGTCAAGACCACAAGAGACAGTACAAGATGATCTGCCATTTGTTTGAGTCTGATAATGTAAGTATAACACAATGTTTGTTAACAATACAAAACACAGCCTGATTCTTGCCATAAGTACAAGTACTTATCGGGTAAGTACTTCCAGATAAGTATTTGGAACACACTTGTGGTATTTATCTGGTACATACTGAATTTGTGTCTGTGGTATTTAAATTGTGCATATTGGGTATTTGTGGAACTTTATGTGAAACATACCATTTACATAACTGTGGTACTTAACTGGTGCATACTCATTCATTCATTCAACCTTTATTTAGAAAGGTTATTCTCATTGAGCCACGAGGACTCATTTACAAGAGAGATCTGTTTTAAACAAAGAACTCAGATGAGGTACAGACAACAAAAGACAATCATAAAAAATGAAAAATAGAAGAAATGATATAAGAAACAAAGCAAAAAATAGCTACATTATAAAGCGATGTAAAATACTAAAAACAGGAACATGTCTGCATTGGTTTTTACCATGAACTTAGTAGTTGTTTAAAATCCCTTAGAGATGTCAAGGCTGAGAGCTTCAGATCTTTTTGCAAGGTGTTCCAAGATACAGAAGCTGAGTAAGAGAAGGCTCTTTTGCTTAGTTCGGTCCGCACTGAGGGTACACTTCAGGTAATTGTCCTGAGAGCGCACGCTGTAGCTGCACTCATGAAGTGACATATAGGAGGAGATATACAAAGTACAAGGCAACAGAACGAGAAGTGATTTAAATATGAAAATTTACAGTCTGTTATGAATATTAGCACACCGTAATAGACAGTGTCCAATATCTGCAAGGAGCTTGCAGGAGAATTCATGTAAATAATGTCAACGTTGTCTGAGGAGGGAAGGAAAGTAGCAGTCACAAGGTGTTTTAAAGGCATTCAGAGTTACACAAGATCTAGTTCAGAAAAATTAACTAAGTTTTACTTTCAGTTTCTTCACCAAGATAGATAGATAGATAGATAGATAGATAGATAGATAGATAGATAGATAGATAGATAGAGAGAGAGAGAGAGAGAGAGAGAGAGAGAGAGAGAGAGAGAGAGA